CTGATGCGCATGGCTTCCTGGATGGTGTTGACTTGCACGGTGACAGAGTGGGCAATGGAGCCACGGACAATGTCGACGCGAGGGAGGGCAGTGGCCTGATTGTGGACCTCGTCGTCAATGGCCTTGAGCTGCTGCTCGTTCAGGTCAACGGCAATGAGAATGACCTGGCTGTCGACGCCATGTTCCGCTTGGGAGAGCAGGTCAGACGCGACAAACGCGGGATTGGCGTCCTTGTCAGCAATGACGAGAACTTCAGACGGACCAGCAGGCATGTCGATGCTCACGCCGGCGTTTGTGTCATTGCTGACGTGCATCTTGGCGGCTGTGACGAACTGGTTGCCAGGGCCGAGGATCTTGTCGACTTTGCTGACGCTCTCGGTGCCGTAGGCCATGGCGGCCACGGCTTGAGCTCCGCCAGCGAGGACGATGCTCTCAGCGCCGACTTTGTGCGCGACGTAGACAATCTCAGGGGTGATGCTGCCGTCTGCGCGTGGCGGTGAGGCCAAGACGAGCTTCTTGCAACCGGCGACCTTAGCGGGAACGCCGAGCATAAGAGCGGTGCTGGGGAGGACGGCCGTGCCGCCGGGGATGTAGAGGCCGACCCGTTCGATGGGGCGAGAGAAGCGACCGCAGACGACGCCGGGCATGGTCTCGACTTGGAGAGGCTTATCTTCCTTTTGAGCAGCGTGAAACTTCTTGATGTTCTCGTAAGAGGTGTCGATGGCCTTGATAGTCTCCGGATCGAGCTTCATGAGTTCCGGGGGGAATGGAGCTTTGATAACTGGCGAGGTGAGAGAAGTGGCCTTCTCAAACCTGTGAGTGTACGATAGCAAGGCCTTGTCACCATTCTTGCGAACATCGTCGATGATGGGAGTGACAATTTTGAGGATAGCCTCGGGGGATTTCTGAGATGGACGCTGGAGCGCCTTGAGCAGCTCGGCCTCTGAAACCGTGGCAGAGTTGATTCGCTGCATGGTGATTCTACCGTCGGCAGACTTCTCAGCCAGGGCAGCCTTGGGCACAGCAGCTTCAGTCTTGATGCCCTCCTTCTCTGCCCATTTGCCTTTGGCATTGCCCGGTCGTCTGGTAACCTTGAGACTCTTCGCGTCCAAGTTGGCCTCAATGTCAGCCAATGTGGCACCGGCGCCAATGGCCTTGGTCAAAGCAAAGTAGATAAGATCAGCAGCCTCAAAAGCAACATCTTGTGGAGTCTTGGCATCACATAGCTCCTCAGCCTCTTCCATGATCTTGGCCCGAAGCAGCTTCTCATCAGAGAAGAGACGGGCGGTGTAGGACCCTTCGGGGGCAGACTTCTTTCTTGAAATGAGCGTCTGCTCCAGGGCAGGGATGCCATTCAGGTTTCCAAAACACCCAAACTGCTGGAGATGGCAGAATCGGCCAGTCTGCTTGACAACAAACTTCAAGGTGTCATTGTCGCAGTCCAACCCTACTCGGACGAGATCCTGAGTGTCTCCTGAAGTGGCACCCTTGACCCAGAGCCCTCTCTTGCGGCTTTGGTAAACGCCGGTCTGCGTTTTCAGTGCTTCAAGAATGCTTTCCTCGCTGGTATAAGCAAGACCAAGAGCTACACCAGCCTCATCGGTGACGACAGTAGGAATGAGACCATCCTGGCGGTCGGATTTCCAGTATTTCGCGATAACCTTGGAGACTAGGAGCTTTCCTGCGGCAGACTTATCCGTCGTCAGACCGGTAGAAGGGAGAATAGGAATGGCATTGGCCTTCTGTGCGGCCTCGATGAACTTCTCGAGAGGTGCTCCATCGGTGGGAAGCAGGTAGAGGTTCTTGACCTTGGCAGATTGAGCTGCCTCGATGAAGTTCTCCGACTCGGGAGTTGAGAGATCAAAGTTCCTGACCAGTAATCCGTGTTCTGAAGCTGAAGAGATGTCCGGCTTGCTAACGACCGGAAGCACTCTGTCTCCGAAATCGGTGTAATGAGACAAGGCATCTGGAGCGACGAATACTTTGCGCGCCCCGCGATCCAGTAGGGCGATGACATCGTCTTGTGATTCCAGAGAAGTAGCGTCCAGATGAGCATGGAATTCGTAACTGTGACGATTGAAGAAGCGTAAGAGCTTATCTTGAATCTTTGGCGTTGCCTGCAGGAAGGGATTGCCCAAGAGCGACACTTCCTCGCGGGTCAAACCGTCGAGGTTGGCCAGGCCCGGCGGGACGGCAACGCTGACGAGGAACGGCAAGGGCAGCTCCGTCTCCATTGCGAAATGCGATTCCTGGATCAATGGGGAACTGGTGGAATGTAGTTCCAAACAGGTCGCCAAGAAATATAGAATTCAATTGGGAGAATGAAAGATCGCAAGCGCAAGTGACTCAACATGGAGGATCCCCAAAAAGATCATGGTGGGGCTGGGCTACACTGCGACTTTTTGCCCCTCCATTAGTTGGCGACGGAATTGGATTGACGAAAAAAAAGTGGCAGCAGCATCGTTGTGAGACGCTGGGTGCAGCTGCAGTTTGACAACATTGGCCAGGCCGTTCCTCCCGCCCCTGAAGACGCTGGCGCACAACACTCTAAGCTGCTGAGGTCACCAATGGCCACCCGCTGACCACGCCATTGACCTCGGCGTAATTGGCCCCCGTGCCACCCCGGATTAACAAGTAACCGGCAGGCATCTTTCAACAGCAACCACCGTCTCTGGCGTGTCTCGCGCTCTCCAATTCGAAACTCTCGCGAGTTGCATCATTAGTTGCAGCTTCTGCATTCAGTCGCTGTGGCCCAAGACTGAACGCATCTCGCGCACCACAGGCCACAATTTGGTATATCCTCTTGTATGCGCCATCCATAGCATCGCCGTGTCCTCACCCTGCGGCACTTGCTGCGCAACTCAGCGTTGCAAGCCGAAGCGCACCACCTTCTACTTCTACGTCAACCGGACGTCCGAATACCTCGCCATGGCTTCCAGCCAACCTCAGACCAACGGAGTCACGGCCCCGGCCAATACATCATCACAAACCGCGCCAAACACACAATCCACCACGGCTGCGCCTGCTGGCGCCCCGCAAACTCCAGCTCAACCTCCCGGTGCCTCGGACCCCCGACCTCGCGATGCGCGATTGATCGAACTCCTCCTCACCTCGCAAGGAGTCACCGCATACGAACAACGCGTTCCGCTACTCCTCCTCGACTTTGCATATCGACACACATCCTCAATCCTTAGCGACGCGTTGCACCTCTCTGGCGACCCGTACGTCACCCAAGCTGGGTCGAAACCTTCCGCAGCCTCGGGCGCATCAGCGCTTGCTGCAGGGGATGCGCCCATCACAGCAAATGGCGTTAAGCTCGCTATCGGTGCCCGCCTAGGGTACCAATTCCGCGGAGGAAGCAGCGGAGGCGGCATCAGCAAAGATTACATGCAGGAACTGGCCAGAGAACGGAACAAAGTTGCCTTGCCAAGAATAGTCCCCAACGAATGGGGTGTTCGACTACCGAGCGAGCGGTTTGTTCTTAGTGGGACGAGCTGGGGCCTCAAAGACATGTGGGATGAAGCCGGGGATGATGACGAGGAAGAGGAACAGGGCGGCGACGCCATGGAAGGGATTGAGGCACCGGAGCCGGAAGATGTTGGTGGCGATGGAGTCGAGGGGGGTACTGTTGATGATGTCTTTGGAGATGATGTCGATCAAGAGATGGCCGAGTAAACACCGTTTCTGGTGCCATATCCATTGATGTTTTGGCCCTGTTTAGTGGTCTATACCTATTTGCATTGGTAACTGGGCCTTGGTTGGTGGCGTTTGCGGCGTTTGGCGATGAATTAGAGCTCACCGGCTAACATATGCCTGTCGAGTGGGAAATGCAACTTCTTCAACCCGAAATATCGTTGGTGCATCTTGACTGTTTCTGCTTTGTAGACTGCCTAGGGAATCAATACGGGGCGAGTGAAACCTACTTCTACCTATCCCTTGTCTATGGGCAAATTTGATGACCTTGACATGGGGAAACCAACTCATGCATAATAATCTATGCTGAGTCGTATGTTTATCGGAAAGCGAAGGGGCATCATGGACTTTGGCCGCGGAATACCATTACTCCTTCATGGCATATAATATTCAGCGCTTTGGTTCCTTTCCATATATCCTGGTCCAGTGCATGAATTAATTTTTTTTCCTCTCCTTGTTATCGAAACACCAACAGGGACCCTGTTATTGACATAATGCAGCGCCTGGCATTGTTCACTGGCTTTTACCAAACACGACAGTTATGTCTTCTAAGCGAGCATTCAGACTACAACAATACCACTGGCATTTCAATATCGTCGATATAGCACTATTTCTGCCCCCGCCAAACAGCCTTGTTTAAGAGCAATCGCTAGGAGCGGATACAACAGTTCCCTACTCTTCAACATCTCAACTCCCTGATTATGCCCAATTCTACTGTAGACGAAGTGGATACCTGCTTATCTCTTGGGTTGGACTCAAGTAACTCCAGAGTACAATGTGAGGTTGGAGGTCGGTATGTGACTGGGGTAGTTGTACAGAAGCAACGCTCTCGAGGAGTTTTGGAATAGAAAGTCTCGTCTGCACAGACTTTGTTCATCTGGATACGTGAAGTGTTGATTTCGCGTTCTTCCTTGTGTATTCAGTCCATGGGGCGAAATAGCAGGATGTGATGCAGGATTGACCTTGTCACACATAAACATGATTGTGATGCAAATCAATACATATCACCTACACACAGAAATTTACAAATACATTCCAAGCAATGAAAATTACTCCGACAGCAGCCTTTGCGTAGCTTCCTGAAGAGGAGGAGCACCTGAGAGCGAAGTAAGGTGAAAATAGTTGCAGTACTGGAACATGTTTACAAGACAAATAAAACACCAGATTTTAGTACCCCCGATTCTGACAACTACGGTATGTGAACAAGTAGATAACTTTATGGTACACTAGGCCTTTGGTGAAAACGGTATCTCTTACACTCTATACCCGAGTCTCGCTTTTGCCAACCCTGCCGGCCCGACACTACCTTAAAACTTTGGCTTCATAGTGTTCCGTAGTCTCTGGTAGTCAAACAATGCTTCAATGTTTCCAACGGCGCTGATGGCAATGTCCTTGTCCCACAGCTTGCGGTTGGCAAAGTCCATGACCTCTTTCTCCGTGATGGCATCGATTCTGCGCTCAATCTCCCCGGGCATCATGCGGCGGCCAGTGGTGATGAGCTGGCGGCCAATGTCCTCGGCAACGGCCGTGGTGCCGTCAAGTGATAGGAGTATGGAGGCCTTAAGCTGAGCCTTGGCGCGCTCAACCTCAGCCTCGCCGACGTTGGTGCACAGGCGCATCCACTCACGCATGGTGAAGTGGACGAGATCGTCGAGGCGGGTGATGTTGTCGGTGGTCAGATAGATACCCCACAGACTAAACCATTCTTGTTAGCTACAATTCTGCCCAACCCTGCTTGAAGGGGCACTCAGTCTTACCCAGTATCACTGTAGCTGGTGGAGAAGCTCATGAAGTTGTTAGCCAGCTCGTGTCGGTGGACGAGACCACTGAGCTTGCTACCCTGGTTGGGAGCGTTACCCATGGCCTTGTCATAATTGCCGACAATAGCCTGGGTGACCAGAGCAGTGAAGTAGTCGTCAGAGCTCCAGCTAACACCCTCAACAGCCAAGGCAACGTTGGCAGTGCCCATGGTATCATCACGGACACGAACATCTGAGCCAATGAAGTCGGCCTTCTGCTTAGAAAGAAGGTAGGCCTGGTTCTCAGGGCTCTTGGCGGGGAGGCCGGCGAAGTGCTTCTCGGCCAACTCAACGAGCTGCTCGTGAGGAATGCCACCAGCACCGACGAGGACCATACGGTCGGCGGTGTAGTTGTTCTTGATGTAGCTGGTGAGCTCGGTTCGGGTGATGTCGCGGATGTTCTGGCGAGGGCCAAGGATGGTGCGGCCCAGTGGCTGGTGCTGGAAAGCAGTGGCATGCAAGTGGTCGAAGACGACCTCTTCAACCTGCTTCTCAACTTCCTCGGACTCACGAAGGATGACATCACGCTCGCGCTCGATGGCAGACTCCTCGAGCTTCGAGTTCTGCAGAATATCGGACAGGATGTCGACGCACTGAGGAACATCGGAGTTGAAGGCCTTGGCAAAGTAGACGGTGTTCTCACGCTATTGGTCGTGTTAGTTGTCCGGCATTCCGGCGTCTCCTTGTAGAGGTTGCATCCACGTACAGAGGTGTAGGCGTTGAGGTGGCCGCCCATATTCTCAATCTCGAGCTCCAATTGCTGCTGCGATCGCTTGGCAGTGCCCTAGATACGTGGTTAATATTTTTGACGGCCAATTGCGCCTCGGCGGTGATTGTTGCTGGTGTACCTTGAAGGCCAGATGTTCGAGGAAGTGTGCGGTGCCGTTGTTCTCGTCAGTCTCGGCGCGGGAACCGGCGTCAATCCAGACACCAACAGTCGAGGTCTGGGCCCATGGCGAGTGCTCAGTAGCGACCTAGTGTTCCCGTGTCAGTAGCAAGGCCATGCAAGGCAAATCGCGGCCAATTGAGCCCGGGTGAATGGTACGCACGGTCAGGCCGTTCTTGAGTGTTGTCGTTTGAGTTTTGCCGACGCTGGAAGGAGTCGCGAAGCCGCGACGAAGAGAACCGGCGGCCGACAGACCAGCACGGCTTCGCAGGCCCTGCGAGAGGTTCAAAGCTAGTCTGCGAGACGCCATGGGGGAGGATTGGGTGGCTCGGAGGTGGTTTGAGTGGTTTGATGAAATCTTTCGATCTCGCTCGGCTAGAAGCTTTCCTGAGATAATTTGTGGCCTGAAGCACCAGGCGTCCATTTGCATTCCGACCAACTCCGAGGCTCAGCCCCATGGTCAAGGAGAGGACACGGGGCCAATCAAACCGCCGCATTAGTAACCTAGTCCCCATCCCTTTTCGACCAGGGCCATGTTCCTCCAACATTTGCGTCAAGCATGTGTTGAAGATCATCAATACAAGGCCTCCTTAGCCAGCTATGCTTATGATTGCATTGCATCTTGATCATAGCTTCAATACATTATGCCGCGCCCCTCCCCCCTGCTTTTATACGCTTGATCTCTCATCCTTATCTTCGAGTCCTCTGCCCAGGCGTGCACTACTTCCGTCAAATGTCAAATGTGTGCCAGGTCTTCCCAAAACATATTCCAACCTCTAGATTATATTTCCAATCCAAAATTTTAATTGCAGCAGAACCGGCCTTCACTTCCTTCACCGTTTCCAAAGTCACTGAACAGGAATAATGAGCTTGTCATATGTGTTGCCCAAATTGCGGCAAAACCGGCCCAACGCCTGACGATGGCAATCGAAGCACATATATACGCTAACATGTCGTAGTATATTTTAGTGCATAGTGCGATAGCCAGGTACCTGCTCTGGTTGACTCTTTCCTCTTTCTGCACCCCCACCGCAACATTGGCCCTGGAGCATTTGCTGGCGGGGAAATCCATCAATTGGTCGTCACCACCAAGAGGACTCTACCCATACACTGAGTGCGACATACAGTACAGAAAACGATAGGACATTATATGTTGTATACAAACATACATGTAAGCTGTTGGGAACTTGTCAATTCCTTAGCCCAGCGACAATTATGAAGGCCCTGGTTCAAAGTTATCCCCCCCTCGGTCAAGTCACCGTCGTCCAGGACAGCACAGTCGTACTAACATCGGTATTGGAAATATCCAACAGTCGAGCGGAAGAAGAATGGGATGTTGCGCTTTGGATTTCTGTAGACAGCGGGCGCTGGAGTGAGATACGTCTGACCAGGCTGGGGCATGGCGCTGAACCACCTGTGCTCAGCAAAAAGCCACAGTCGTCCTCGTTCCTATATTTCCGTTGTTCATTTTCGCTTCACAAATTTGCAAATTTCACCTTTAAGTTCCGACGAGCAAATGACGAATCGTGGAAATGGGTTCGTGAAGAGGAGGGGTCGAATGATGGTATCATCATTCTATCGACATCTCCCACCTCGTCTCCCGACGATTCAAGGCCATGTATCCCGGACTTGGACACGGAATGGAACATCTCATCTCACGTTAGTCAGTCCCCTGGCACGCAACTATGGTCACTTAGTTGTTCCTTGCCTGCCTCTGTAGGGGAGAACTCGACATTTAGAGATATTACCATCGGTACGCCGTGGGGCTCATTTATAAGGTAGGCAATTTCCATTTGCGAGGCAGTATGAAGTCGAGCCGTATACTGGGAAGGTTTTAGCACTTGTAGAATCACAACTGTACATTGATGGTGTCGATGTTGCTAATAAGATGTAGATGGTTTGCTCTCGTCCGTCACAAGGCAGCCTGGCTGGGCCCTCGACATGGCAGATCTCGTTTCTCTCCAGATCAGGACACAATCTTGGGTTGTTTTCTAAGCCATCATGGCAAGACCATGGCAATACTCGCCGTGAGTGGCGTAGGCAGTGTAACAACAACTATTCGGGATGATGGCCACGGTGTGGTCGCTGTTCACGTATGCAGGGGCCCGCTTTCGTTATCTTTGGTATTATGATTAATGGTTGCAGGCCAGAAACGATTCTGCGTCGTCGGAAACAACTGTGGTTCTGATCTCGGAAGGGATCGATTTCGACCACGCGGTTGCCTCCGTCATGTACCATGCAAGAACGATGGTATCAGAGACATATGGCGTGTCACAAAACCATAACAATAGTCGAGAAAAATGGGATTCAAAAGCTATAACTGGGTGGAAGCCGGAATGGCAAGATGGTTTAGGATTCTGTATGTTGTCCCCGTCGTATAGAATGCATCCTCCCACGTTAACCCACAAACCGGCACTTGGAATTCTTTGGGACAGCAGCTTTCTGAGACAAAAGTTCTCAACGCGATAGAAGAGCTTGCTAGGAACAAGATTCAAATAACGAATCTCATTATCGATGACAACTGGCAGTCTCTGGATCGCATTGGAAGTGATCAGTCACAGTATGGATGGTCCGAGTTTGAAGCAGACCGCAACGCTTTCCCCAGCGGTCTGAGAAGTGTGGTAGCACAAATTCGAAACTTGCACCCAGCTCTTCAGAATATCATCGTATGGCATGCCATGCTGGGATACTGGGGCGGCATCTCACCCAATGGGCTTATTGCGAAGACTTACAGCACAATCAAGGTAGCCCAAGAGGGTGAAAACAGCCATCCGCTGACCATTGTTGGCAAACCGGATGTATCGCGGTTATACAACGACTTTTACAGATTCTTGGCTGAGTCGGGAATTGATGGTGTCAAAGCTGATGCACAAGTCATGATCGACATGTTGAAAGATGCACCAGATCGTCGAGATCTGATATCTACCTACCTCGACGTCTGGTCCAAGACCTCGGAAGAGTATTTTGGTGGCAAAACCATATCATGTATGTCCCAATTTCCATACTCTCTCTTCCACTCTCAATTACCCCGAAGTAGAGGAGAGTTTTCTGTCAGAAACTCGGATGATTTCTTCCCAGATGTTCCACGGTCACATCCGTGGCATATCTGGGCCAACGCACACAATGCCATCGTCACTCAGTTTCTGAACGCGGTTCCGGATTGGGACATGTTCCAAACTGTGCACAGCTACGCAGAGTTTCATGCCGCAGCACGATGTGTAAGTGGCAGCCCAATTTACATCACAGATATCCCAGGCATGCACAACATGCATCTGATCAAGCAAATGACTGCTACTACGCCACTTGGTCAGACGGTGGTTCTTAGACCGAGTGTCCTGGGCAAATCAATGTGTGCCTATGCCGGATATGAGGACGGTTTGCTTCTGAAAATTGGCAGCTACAATGGTAAGTCTCCAGATCTGTACAAACTGTCCACTATGCGCTGATGATGAACAGGGGCATCCCAGACGGGCACTGGCATTCTTGGCATTTTCAATGTTTCAACAAGGCACCTCACCGAAATTATTCCTCTGGGGCTTTTTCCAGGAGTGTTTCAAGGAGGAAAATACGCCGTTCGATCACATACAACAGGACAGACTTCGGCGCCGATGACAACGGGCGCCCCAGACTCAGTAATTGCTGCATCGATAAATGAGGCAGGATATGAGATTTTATGCGCTTTCCCGCTGGCACAATTTAAGAGTGGTCGATATGGCAATGGATACGCTGGTGCCGTTGGCTTGGTTGGTAAGATGACTGGCTGTGCTGCAATGACATACAGCAGTGTAGTTCAACGGGATTCTGGCACAGTCATCGTGACCTGCAACTTGAAAGCGTTGGGTACCCTAGGTGAGTTAAAGCCCTCCATTTCGGAGTAAATCGCATATGCTGACATGGCTGAGTAGGTGTGTACATTTCTACGCTTCCGCGCTTGAACATTGAAGACGACTTCATGGTAGCAATTGAGGACCTGCCTGTCCGGTTCGAGACGGTAAGTAGAAGTGAAGATGATGAGCGAATTTTTGAAATTGATGTTGAAAGAGCTTGGGAAGAGGTCGCGGTGAGCACTATGCAACGAGGTGAAGTGCAGATTAAAGTGAGCTTCCAGCCTTGATTTGGTGGCGGCTTGTTTCGAGGTGTTGATGTCAAGAAGGGCGAGAATTGGAAATGGGGCACTAAGTGGCAATCATATAAATGAATACTGGAGTGTCACGGAGGATTCTGCGCAAATGCAGACGTGAACCGGTCGTTCCTCGTCCAACTTCATGTAATAAACCAGGCGTAATAGAGCTGGTCGCAGCCAAGAAACACGGTGTGTTTGTGTGTCAAGGTCGCGTCAAAGTCGGGAGTGACATCAGGAAGGGGCACCCCACCTGCCAGCAACTGCCCCGCTTCAGGAAAAAAAAAGGTTCTGGCGCATCCATCCACGCACCAAATGTGCGGTCCAGTGTGTTTAGCCACCTGGGAAAGCTCCGCTCCTGCAGGGTCCCTACACCAAAAAGTATAAGAAAAAAAATTTCGGCCTACCTCATTTCTCTCTCTTTGGCCTTCTTCTTTCCTACGGGAAGAAGCGCCGTATCAACCTCAACCAGTCGATTCAGTAGATCCTCGCCAGTTCTTCTACTTCGACTCTTACGTCTTCGACCTCGTTCTTTTCTTGCCCCCAGCCATTTGTGTGTTGCATTCGCAATGGCTGCTCTCGACGCCTTCGGCACCGGCAAGGTGCTTGACCACACCACCGCCCTCGATGTGCTCAAGGAATACAAGACTGCCGATGGTCTCGATATCCACGAGCTCATGGATACTACCAAGCACGGCGGTCTTACGTACAATGACTTCCTGCTGATGCCTGGCTACATTGGCTTCCCTGCCTCCGAGGTAACACTCGACTCCGCCATCACCAAGCGCATCACTCTCAAGACTCCCTTCGTGTCTTCCCCCATGGACACTGTCACGGAGCACGAGATGGCTATCCATATGGCTCTCCAGGGAGGTCTGGGTGTCATTCACCACAACTGCTCTCCCGATGCTCAGGCCGACATGGTCCGTAAGGTGAAGCGATATGAAAATGGCTTCATCCTGGACCCTGTAGTCATCGGCCGCAACACGACTGTTGGCGAAGCAAAGGCCCTCAAAGAGAAGTGGGGATTCGGCGGCTTCCCTGTCACTGGTAAGTTGATAATCTACATTCTACCGCTTGCTTGTCACCCAATACGCCATTACACTGCAACATGATTATTACCCAATCAATTTATAACTTTCGTTCCACCGCAAAGACTTCACGTCATGAGGAGAAGAATACTATGACCACTGCACACATTTTGTTGCCCGTTATGATGAACCATGTGCTTAGGACCAGTGGCTAACATCATTGGGCACAGAGGACGGCAAGCTTGGCTCCAAGCTCCTCGGTATTGTTACCAACCGAGACCTTCAGTTCGAGGACGAAACCGATGCTACCGTCGCTAATGTCATGGTGACTGACCTGGTGACTGCCCCCAACGGCGTCACTCTGGTCGAGGCCAACAAGATTCTGGCCAAGTCAAAGAAGGGCAAGCTGCCCATCGTTGACAAGGACTTCAATCTTGTCTCTATGATTTCCCGATCCGATTTGACCAAGAATCAGCACTTCCCTTTGGCATCTAAGCTGCCCGACAGCAAGCAGCTTCTTTGCGCCGCTGCTATTGGTACTCGCCCTGAAGACAAGATCCGCTTGCAGAAGCTTGTCGAAGCTGGTCTTGACGTTGTCATTCTGGACAGCTCTCAGGGCAACAGCATGTACCAGATTGAAATGATCAAGTGGTGCAAGAAGGAGTTCCCTGGCCTCGATGTCATTGGTGGCAACGTTGTTACTCGCGAGCAGGCTGCCTCTCTCATTGCTGCTGGTGCTGATGGCCTCCGAATTGGTATGGGCAGTGGCTCTGCCTGCATTACCCAGGAGGTCATGGCTGTCGGTCGACCTCAGGCCGCGGCCGTCTACTCTGTCAGCAGCTTTGCTGCCCGCTTCGGCGTGCCTTGCATTGCTGATGGTGGTGTTCAGAACGTTGGACACATCGTCAAGGGCCTTGCCCTCGGTGCTTCAACTGTCATGATGGGAGGTCTCTTGGCTGGTACCACTGAGTCTCCCGGTACCTCGTTTGTCTCTCGCGAGGGTAAGCTTGTCAAGGCTTACCGCGGCATGGGCAGCATCGATGCTATGCAGGACAAGAAGGCTGGCGGCGGCGGTAAGGACAGCCAGAAGAGCAACGCTGGTACTGCGCGATATTTCTCCGAGGGCGACAGCGTGCTGGTTGCCCAGGGCGTTTCGGGATCCGTTGCTCACAGAGGGTTCGTTGCCACACTCATCCCCTTGTCCTTATTAGAACATGCTAACTGACGTCTTCAATAGTTCTATCAACAAATTTGTTCCCTACCTGGCCGCCGGTCTCAAGCACTCCATGCAGGATTGCGGCATGAAGAGCCTGGCAGAGCTCCACCAAGGTGCTGCCAACGGTACAGTTCGCTTCGAGCTCCGCACTTCCAGTGCGCAGTTGGAGGGTAATGTGAACATGGAGGCATATGAAAAGAAGCTTTATGCTTAAACGGATATGAGTTTAAAGAGACATGATTATTGAATAGTGATGGGACGGGCAAACAAAAGAAGTCAATTGGGTGTCGAATTCCGCTTCAAATGATTTATAGGAGTTTGAGCTTTTTTTGGATATGGAGTAGCATTGGTAGAACCTGACAGGCGGCTAATTGAGTAGTTGTCCTGTCGGATATGATTTCTCGGAACCAGCATAAATGTCAATAATTTTTTGATTCCCCCTAAATCTGATGCTGCACTACGGTGACGAGTCATGCCAGATGGTTCTAGACGAACGATGCAGAAAATTATGCTTGGATTAGGGAAACTGGGCGCAGCTAACAAAGAGCGCAGGGTATTGAATACATGTGTAAAATAAACCAGACGAACGCACTCCAAGCAATACGAAAGAACGACTATAAGTCAGTATGAGCCAACCCAAAGCTGCTTCGACCGAGCTCTCATGCTTCATTCCAATCCATTTGTCTCGCCGTCTCCTTCCCCCTTACCGTTCCTGCCTATGATGCCGATGCCCCTTATGTTCCTGGGCGTCCTGGACACCGCTATGCCTAGGCATCTGCATGCCCTGCGTCTGACCCTGGTATCCCTGGGGGTCGGGGGGGTAGTGGCCGGCTCGCAGGGCGACTTCGCGGTCTTGCTGGATGAGCGCGCAGCACCTGCAGAAGTAGGACGTCTTGAAGTCAGACGAGGCATCGCCCTCGATGCCGTATTTCTCACGAATCCGGGTACGCGTGGCCGTGTTGTAGCTTAATTACGCACGTCAGTATTTGCCCTTTTCCCCCCTTGGGTCATGGTGAAAAGCGCAGTGCGGCAGTGGCCATGGATGGTGATGGGACTTACAGCCATGTCCTCGGCATGCAGCACCAGACCATGCACTCGTGGTTCAGAAGCTCGTGAGACTGCAGCGACGGGTCGTGCATACGTTGCATCGTCTTCCCGTGGACTAGTTCACTGCGCCGTTAGTTCTCTTCTTGGTTTTTCCCCGCGGGCCGGTGAGGTTCTCACGTACGCACGCTTGGCAAGCAGCAGCCTAGCAGGCACGCTTTCATGTCGCCGCAGCAGTCGAACAGGCCGAACTGCCACTGTGAGCTGTGGGGGTCGAGGTGTGCATTATTCTGGTGTTGGTCAGGGTGTTGCGGTGCAGATTGTTGCTGCTGTTGGGTGTGATGCTGCTTTGGCTCCATGTTGATGCTCAAACGGTACTAAATAATGATGTTGATGGGTGTAATTTGCAACTGCGATTGTCGTGTGTAAAAGTATGTACCTATGTATGCATGTCGCAGCGAGAAGAACGGGTCTTTTCTTCTTCTAGCTCTCTTATAATATTATTGCATTACGGTTATTCAAACGCATCTCGTCTAGCCGGCTGTTCTTTCAGTCATAGAATGTAGAGCACGCCCGAACCAGCCCAACCAGGTAAATATTGAAGGTGAGCAGCTGGTTCGAGCTTCCTGCATTTGATGCGGAAGCCGCGGAGACGGCAGGTGTTGGAATGCGGCCCTGCGAACGTGGCTGCCTCTTTTGTTTGTTGCGGCAGACCGAGTTTATGCAATAGTTCATGTGGAAGCCTGCTTTCTTGTCCTCGGTACCTCAATTAGCAGCAGTTGCCAAATGACAGTCAGACTTTGCCGGTCGTTCATGAGGAGGCCATGGAGCTGCCACGTCCGTCGTCGAGTCGTGGGCCTCGTGGCTGATACATTGGCAAGATGCAATCAAACGACAGCAAAAAGCCAGGTGCTCGCGTAGCATGGCCCAAGTCTGGAACAAGTTCATTCATACTTACACGGTCCCTCTCCTCTTATTGCGACAAACACCATCGGGGCCCTGTGTGACCAAAAGATGTCACTGAGCAGACTCAGTGCAACAACACCACAATCATATCTCATCCATCACCACCTGCCACAGGCTTCTTCCTCCTCCCCCTCTTCACCCTCCGACTCATAATCACGTAATCCGCCGCGATCAGCTTCCCCCTCAACCTCCTCTCCCTCGGCGAATTCTCGTCCACGTCGAACCCAAGCCGTTCGTAAAACCGCCTGGCACGCTCGTTCCTCACAAAGCACGTCAGCATGACCTTGTCAATGCCTTCTGCCCGCTCAGCTACCTCTGTCAAGTATCCCATCAACTGGCTGCCCAAACCCGTCCTACATTGTCCAAAGTCAAACAAATTAGCTCACTTGTCGCCACCAAATATTGTACTCATTGTAGCATACGCACCCTTTTACTTCCTCCGTCAGATGAATCTCATAGCAATACACCACCGGCTCGCCATTCTCCCATGTCGGCATGAGCGAGGTGAATCCGCAAATCTCTTCCCCGCGCCGGACCAGTATGTACCGCAGATCAGGAGACCGCATCTCCTCCTTTTTGGCAGACGGGTGCCATCCCTGCAGCGACAGGCGATAGTCCCGGCCGCTCGTTTGGTCCACGATGCCAAAGCACTTGTCGACTTGGGCCTCTGTCAGCCGCGCCGCCTGAAGGAGGGTTATGGCATATCTGGTTTTGGACACGGGGTGCGTCCATTCACAAGGTCTGGTAGGCAAAGACGAAAAAAAAGAAAAATCTTAGCTTCGTAAATTCTCATCGTGGTACATTCGGCTGGATGTAAAATACAGTAATGGCACATAATCCTTGACAAAGACGTCGTCCGGCTTGGCGTTGGCCGCCTCCACAGGGTCGGCGGTTTCGCCAGCATTCCGTGCCGGTGTGTCGCCGTTTGCCCCGAGTCGGGACATGTTTCCTTCAACAAGAAAACGAGGACGGTTCCCCCGGGCAGCTATTTCCCGTTCATCAGAAACTCGCACGCGGTTGCGAGAATGCTCGAATTGGGCAGCGTAATCCCGCCCATGTCAAGCTACGCGACAGCCGAGGTTCTCCCGTTGCCTGCAAAACCACACCAAGCGCAGCATCAGACCTACACAACCTCCCCCAATCCCCCAAACCGCAAACACAATCCGTCATTTCATCCCCATGAGATAGCCAATGAAATACCCCGCGTTCCTACGCATCCGCGGCTATGCCACCCGCCGCCGAGGCAAGCTCAACGCCCTGAGCCTCGATCACGTACGATCCCCCCCCCCATGACGAGTCTACTCACTCTCCCAAAACACAAGCTCCACGAAAAAGAACAGCGCTGACACGCACCGCAAAGTTCCTCCAAAGAGCAAGAGTGCTCTCCTTCTACAGGACGATCCTCCGCGGCACACGCCAGATCCAGGACCCGCGCACCAAAAGCGAGACAAGGAAATTCGTCCGCGACGAATTCGAAAGACACCGCGGCGTCACAGACATTGTAAGTTCCCGCGTATTCCTCTTGTTCCTCCCCCAATGCGGGCGGGTACTAACCATGCAGTCGCATATACGATATCTCCTATCAACAGGCAAGACAGAGTGGGAGAGTATGGAGAGATATATAGGGGGTATGTAGAGGTGTCAAGTGTAAAGCGTAAAGCGTAAAGTGTAAAGTACAAGTCCAAGAGCTGCCATGCCGCCGGTGTATTCTATTCCGAACCCATTCTCCCCCGCCAGTAATGTACAAAATCCTCGCCTTCTGCCTTCTGCCGTCTCCCCCCTTCCCCACGTCTCATTCAAGCAATATACACACAAAAGAGGGTAGGTAGCCAAGTACCCAGGCCCCTTCGTCGCCCCAATTCTCAATTCTTCACGTCGGCCCAACTCTCGCTCGCTCGCTCCCTCTCTCGGTCAAGCTCAACTCTGCCGCTGCTTGTGTCGCGGGTTCGCCTTGCAGATTATGTACAAGTACCCGTTATGTCTCTTGCCGGCCTTGCGCCGAACAACCTGCGTGTTGTAACCCGTCAGTTTATCAGAGCCCATCTTCCAAATCTTGGTCTCGATCCCGTCCCTCAGAGAGACCAGACAAGCCACACGAGAATGCTGACTTTGCAATGCTCGCACCGCTTCTTCACCGAGCTGTGAACCTTCATCCCCCTCGTCTGTTGTACTTGCTGCAACGCCCTTCCACCACCAATCCTGCCCAAACTGGCCCCGAACGCTGGCGCCCATGTCGTCGCGCTGCAGAGATTGCCGATGAGAGCCGGGACAGATGGCCTCGAGGTAATCGTTCGTGCCGAAAGCGCAAAGGTGCGCAGTAAAAAGGCCATTGTGGCTGTTTGAGTGCTGAATTGCAGTTTGAGAGTTGCAACCGGGACGACGTTCCGCAGCTCTTCCAAAAGTCGCGTATCACGTGACTGGGAACCAGGGCAAAACATGCTTGCAAAGCAACATCGTGTATTTCGTCTTAATGTGTACCTATCTAGGAGCTAGTTGAATGAGCTTCCCGCTCAGCTATCCATTGTATTAAATAATCTTTGTTCATGCCACTTGCTCTTTCCAGGTCTGTCGCCATTGTCTGTCTCCATAGCCTGTTCTCGTAATAGGCCATCATCTCTGCCAGCTAACACCACGTTTTATGATCCATCTCAACGCACACAGACTCTGATAGTCCCTGGTCCTTCAATGCTGTTTGACCATTCCAAGCTTGATAAAGAGACCTTACCAAAACGCATCATCACGCTCAGTGAGGTTGCATTGTTTGCCAGCTGGCTTCTCCACGGCTCCCCAGCCCTTCATTGTCAGGCCCACATGAAACATTATCGCAGACTTAATGTCATAGCTCGGTATGCCTGCCACCGTATCACCAGATGGCTGTAGCTCCTCAGCGGTGTCTGGCATGCCGCCATCAAACCTTGACCTCAAAAAGGATTTCTTCCCCTTGCCTTCTTCATCTTGTTCCGCAACGCATCGAACGGCCCTACAATAAACATCGAGGTTGTTACAATTAGTGGAAAAGTGTTTCCAAGCCTGTCTACTATTCAGGAGATCGGCTAGAGTGGGCAAGTTTGCCAGCGAGTCCCAGTGTATTTTGTTGTCTCGTATCAGGTCCAACATCACCTGGCGCGTGTACATGACGCCTTCCCTGTCCACCGTCGTATGATTGGTGTCGGGTCGTACCGATATAGTTGATTGTAGCTTTAT